AAAAATATGATTATATAAGGCATAGAATAATTCTAGACATAAAATATCCATCCATCCATTCTCTTCCTCTTATCCTTATCAGGGGTGGGGAACTGGAGCCTAACTGAGCTCCCATTGGGTGAGAAGCAGGGTACTCACTGGACAGGTCACCATTATATATTGCAGGGCTAATACAGACAGACAACCATTTGCACTCACATTCACACCTATAGGAAATTTACAATCACCAATTAACCTAACCCCACTAACTGCATGTCTTTGGGCTGTAGAAAGAAGCCACAGTACCCTGAGAGAACCCACACAAACATGGGGAGAACATGCAAACTGCACACAGAAAGGTGTGTTGGAGTCAAACTCATGACTTTTATGTAGTGAGTCAACGGTGCTAGCCACCACTCCACACTGCTGCACAAATAATGGATGTGTAAACTATTATCTGTTAGAGTATAAATTGGACGTTGAAGTGTTACTGTGAAATTATTACTATACCTGGCTGCAGAGGTGTCCGGTTTTCTATTATCGCTGGTTGGAAGGTAGTAGTGAGCATAGGAGGCTGTGGAGCTGCAGTGGTTTGGACAGGGACACTTGGGGGCGCCATGGTATTAAGATCAGGTCTAGCTGATTGTGTTGTAATTCCACCTACCAGATCTGCAACAGTTTAACAGTGTTATTAAGTGTCTGCATAGAAAGTGAGAAACATCTTTCCAAACCAATAATGGTATGTTATGATATATGAACCTTTTACCTAAGCAGCGGCCCTGATAAAGCTTCAAATCATCTATGGCCACATCTGACTCATCATTGGATCCTCTGCGCCCCTCAATAATGATCTAAATGATAAAATTCAATTGAATGATATGTTTGCAGGATACTTTTTTATAACTAGAAAGCAGGCCACACTCCATGGTTTGAAATAAGTCACCTGAAAAGGTGTGGTTGGTTCAATGTCCACTTGAGCCAGGTGCCACATATTTCCTTGGTCATTCTGCTTCCTCCAAATCTGATTGGCTATTCTGTTTTGGAGCAGGTAAACATGGAGGCCCATTGTATCTGCTGAGCCATACATATGGTACCAGAACTGCAGACACTGAGGTCCAGAGTCAGAGCACTCAGAGCTGATGAGACGAGCTGTGTCTCCATACGATGCACTGTT